AAGCCAGGTGGAATGGTGCACACCTTTAATCCCAGCATTTGGGAGGCAGAGACAGATGGGTCTCTATCAGTTTGAGGCCAGCCTGATCAACACACTGAGTTCCACAACAGCCAAGGCTACATAGAAAGACCTTATCTCCAATAAATAAATAAATAAATATAAATCTTTTTCTTAACCTTTAGACCTCCTTGAAAATACATCTGATTTTAATTTTTATTTATGAGCATGAGTATGTCTATTTATACCACATGTGTTCAGGTACCTGGAGGCTAGATGGATCCCTTGGCAGTAGAAGTTTCAGGTGGCTGTGAATGGTCAGACAGGGGTGCTGGGAACTGGACTGAAGAGCAGCAAATGATCTGAACCCTAGTGCCACTCCTCCAGCCCCATGTTCATATTGTACTGTGAGGGTTAGACAGCTGCTATAGAGATTCTGTGCACGGCCATCCCTACCTTCACTGTCCTCACAGGATTCCAGGAACAGAAAGTTTCTACAGTCTTAATTTACCTATTTAAAACACTGAGTATTTATTTACTATGTTTTAGGAACCATTTTGAACATTTCACAGAGCACATCACATGGCAAAAAGATAGCACTGACTACCGGGCGTTGGTGGCGCACGCCTTTAATCCCAGCACTCGGGGAGGCAGAGGCAGGCAGATCTCTGTGAGTTCAAGGCCAGCCTGGTCTCCAGAGCAAGTGCCAGGATAGGCTCCAAAGCTACACAGAGAAACCCTGTCTTGAAAAACAAACAAACAAAAAAACAGATAGCACTGACTGGAAAATAAGGGCATACCACCACTCCTGCAAAGATTCCAATGGACTATCATGTGGGTGAAGGACCCATGTGTTTCTTTGTGCCATTCCACCAAGAAATTTAAAAACATGCAAAAAATTCTACAGAAAATGAGAGCTACCTAGTGACAGAATCTTTCTACAAGGCTCCTATATAAAGAATACAAGGCTCCCAATAACAAAATAAATAAACAAACAAACAAACAAACCAGGGCCACAAACTTATACTGTAAATACTAAGTGAGAAATATGCATTAAAGGACTCTACTGCAAAACAAAACAGACATTAGAACTGACTTTCCACAGAAATTCACAAAGAGGTTGACAGGAACTTGGGAATTCTAGCTATTATTTATTTCTCTTTCTTTTTCCTTCCTTTTTTTTGTTTCTTGAGACAGGGTTTCTCCGTGTAGCCCTGATTGTCCTGGAACTTGCTCTGCATAGACCAGGCTGGCCACACACTCAAGAGAGCATCCTGGAGGGCTGTGATTAAAGCTGTGGGTCACCACTTCCCGCCACTATTTCTATTTCTAGCTTCATGGTTTCTACTGCACATGCAACCTTAGCAAAGTTCTGTGTCTCTCTGGACTCTCTTCTGATAGAAACCCAGTACGAGCCTTTTAAGAAAATCATTTAACAACGTCCATTAAAAGTAAAAACGCAGGGTGAGATCGAGCTGGTAAAATGCCCACCACACAAGCATGAGGGCCTTAACAAAGTTGGGTGTGGTGGCACATGCTTGAAATCCCAGAGTTGTGGAAGCAAAGACAGGCACAAAGCACCCAGAGTAAATCAAGGCAGCACTGCAGGAAGGAACAGAGTAGGCAAGATAGCTCTGCAGGTAAAGACATCCATGCCCAACCCTGACAACCGGAGATCGGTCCTGGGACCTCCACAACGAAGGAGGGACATTAGAGATATGACTCCTACAAGCTGTCCTCGGACTTCCACATGCAGGCACACAGAACTGACTTCTTCTAAGAGTGTAACAGGGATGTAAAAAAGCATAGCGGCAGCCTTCTTCCTTGATGGGAACGTGAAGAAGGCACAGGCACACTTCTCACTGGCAGGAGCCACTGGTTGCATTCATCAAATGAAAACACAAGGCAGCTAAACAAAATACAAACATTTCATTTAAAAAGTAAATTTTGGTAGGTAAAGGATGGGGTTCTAAGGGTACATAGAGTTCTAAATACTATGAGCAGGATTCAGCTCTAACAAATGCTAAATACAGAATTGGAAGCCCAACGGTCAGCAATTCGGAAACTTCAGTAGTTTCTGTGACATCCACTTGTCTCTGAAAGAGTGAGCATGAACTCTCAAAGGGAGTGTTCTGGCCACTTTCAAAGCAACTTTAAGGCAATGTAACTAAACTTTAAAGGCAAAGATGAATAACAGCTACCACCGGGACAGCATCTAAATCACCTCCTCATAACCAATAAACTAGAACTACAACTCAAATTAACTCAGGATATAGTTCTCCCATGTGCTTATTACAACAGCAGCATTAAATAAAACGTGAAATGAAAACCTGGAGACAGTTTCAGGGTACTTTTTTGGTATTTGATTAAACAATAAGCAGTGGCATTATGACTATAAATAACTGGAAATACTGTAAATTCGGAAAACAAGTTCACTTACAAAACTATAAGAGAAAAACGTATTTACTTATAATTTACTTATTTTCTATTTTTGTTCTAACTTTAGACAAGAAGCCTACAAACCAAAGAAATTCAGGGAGCTCATTTCACAGATGTTATTGCACTCATGTGCAATGCTTTGAGCAGTCTAACCTCACAACTGTCACCTTAGGTTAAAAACAGCTGCCAACAGTATTTGCCAACTATTTAATGTTTCAAATGGTCCGTTTATAAAATGTTGGAAAATAGTATCGCCATTCACATTATTTTCAACAATTCACAATCACACGACGCCTTAGGTACAATCCCCAGCACCACGAAAAACAAATGGAAGCAAATAAATCTTAAAACTCCTTGTTTAACGGGGAAGGGGGTGGGGTGTCAGCAGTCAAAAGGTGGCCAAAAGTACATACCGTTCAGTACCAAATACTATGCTTTCTCAAACACGCCAGTAAGACTTTACTATGAATATGACAGTACCGACTTTGGTCTTAGTCAAAATGAAACGTTGTTCCTAATGGGAAAAGGGCAATAAAAACAGCGACTGAGAAGTCTCTTCAATGGCTTTGGGAAATCCAACGCCAGACGCATTTTTCTGTGTGGCTTTCAAGAACCGGTGTTTTAAAGCTCTTGAAAGAAGACCAAAAGGAAAAAAAAAAAAAAAAGACAGCACGGTGACCAATGCAATTCACACCTAACTGCACTGAGTCGTGACGGAGAGCGACCACATACCATGTTCAAAGTTCAAGCTCCCAGAAGGAGGGAAGGAAGGGAGGGCAAAGAAAGACAGTTCCCCAAAGCCTACCAGACCTGCCTGGATGTGAGACGACACTGACGTTTGACACACGGAACGG